AGCACGTTACCACTAGGATAACGCACTATTACAATATTAAAAATTCATTAGGAGTATATATATTGAAAAACTTTCGTTTTTAAAAATGTCAAATTGTTCAATTTCATTGCATATCTCCTCGATTATCAAATATTCAGTTTTTAAACAATATTTCCATTGATTTGCCATTAACAAAAAAAAAAATTGGAATTATTTAAAATAAAAAAAAAATGAATGATGCCAGGATTGAACCCGGGCCGCCGGCGTGCCAGTCGAGCACGTTACCGCTAGGACAACGTGTTTATTTAAAATTCTAAATTCATTAGTGGTATATATTCAATACATTGAATAATTTTTTCCATTGAAATTGCACAAGATGTGGTTTCCCCCTTCCGTACGTGCTACAGTCGGCTCAATTTCAGTTAAACAAATGAAAAACAAAAAGCATTCGTACAGCAGAAAATAAAATTCACCCCGTCGACTTGATGGACACCCCAGCATTGCAATAAAAACTTGGTTAATAAAAAAAAAACACCCCACCATTGCGTGTGGTGCCCTCCCTCTCTTGGGGTGCAGTACTACGATGTCGCTGGGGTCTCTTCAACCCCGAGAACTGAGCCTCTACTTTAGTCAATCCTCTTTGGTGCATGTGTAGATGCAGTAACTAAACTCTATTAATAGAACTATTCATTTACGGTTATGTTCCTGATGCTATCCTCGAAGATCCACGAAGATCCCTCAGGAAGCATCAAAAATATCCGCTCATCTATTTTTACATCGCCCAAGTGCATGAGTGTTCATCAGCATTTTTAATTTGTCAGAGTTTCTTTCTCGTTGGTTCGGCATACCTATTGTTGTCCAACTCCGCGGAAGTGTACTTCATTCAATTATAGATAAACCTAAATTTTTCTAAAATGGGTAGAAAAAAATGCCATCGATCTATTCACAATTACGATTCTTCACAAAAAAAAAAAATACCACAGATTAAACGTAAAGAAATTAGTCAACAATGTGAAAATTTACTTAAATGTAAGTTTACTCGACTTTTATTCATTTTTTCAGGAGACTTTGGATTATTATGATAATTTTTTAAAACTTAATCAGGAAATTTTTCGAAATTCTTCGAAACGCATATTAATTTAGCATATGCACTTGAGAAGTTGAATAGCTACGGGATGAATTAGTATCTCCAAAGAAAAATATTCTCCAAACATAAAAAAAATTATTTCTTGCTTCTTTGACAGTTATAACTATTATGATGGTATTATTGTTTTTCATATGCAAGTGTGTAGCGACCCCATATACACCACAAGATTATGGGAAAGTTACCTGGAGATTTCATCAATTTTGGAAAAGATTAATCGCCTTGAAGAGATGAGGATGGCTACAACAACACCACGTGCAGAAGCGATAATGCAATTTATTGAATGGTTGAAAAGTTACGGCGCAATGATTGAAGGTGTTAGCATTGGTGAATTTGCTGGATTTGATCTTGGAATTAAAGCTGAGAAAGATTATCATGCAAATGAGCTAGTATTGGAGATTCCTAGAAAAGTAATTTTCAGTATCGAAACTGCTGCCCCAGAACTATCTTCGATTGCTAATGACCCAATAATTCAGCATATGCCTCAGGTGGCTTTAGCTATTGCACTGTTAGTGGAGAAGCACAGGGAAAACTCTAAATGGAAGCCTTATCTGAGTGTACTGCCTAGGACTTATAATACTGTGCTTTATATGAGCGCTCGTGATATGATTGAGCTTAAAGGCAGTCCTACACTAGGTATTTATTTTACTGGGTACCACATTTTTCGAACAAATCTCTTTACGTTTTTCAGTAATCTTGTCATAAAGTTTACAAAGCCATCAATTATTGACGATTCCCCCCATTCCTCAAATAACTTTCCAACTATCTAATAAAGTGATTGATTACTCATTTGTCATTTTTAGAGGTTGCGCTAAAACACTGCAGAAACATCGCTCGTCAGTATTCATACTTCAACCAAATGTTCCAAAGTAACGGTAGCAGTAATCATGTATCTCAGATTCTAAAAGACGTCTTCACCTACGAAGAATACTGGTGAGTTAAAAATTCCTTGTGAATACAAATATCGCCATAATTACACTTTAATTAATTAATTGATGGTAGGTACAAAAGATAAATACAACTCTCTAAATAAATTACCCATGCCCATGCCCATGCATTTCTTTTTTTTTTTTTTTGAATTCACAAAGTTGCGTGAGATATTGAAAAATTTTCCTAACCATAATTTTTATATCATTACCATTTCACAGTGAAAAATTGGGAATAGTATCCCAGCTATCATCAGCATCTAATGAGTCATTTTCAATATCACTCTTGGATTCATGAATTCCATTATTAACGGTATTTTCTATCGCTCGCTTCTCTTGTTTCTCCGATGTGGAAGTTGCCATGACATTAATCATAATCGTATTGGAGCTTGAATTAGATAATTTTCGAGAGTTTATTGGTATTTGAAATACAGTCCTTGATAATGGATTGGAGTGAATTAATTTCTGTTTTTGCCTAATCTTCAATCCCACGAATATAACCAAGAAGCTAAAAAAAGTAACACCAAGAATTGTTCCACTGGCAATTATATTTGGTTTAACTCTAGACAATGATTTTAAATCATTATCCATCAATATTTCAAGTGATTTACTATTCTCCTGTCGATTGGTATTTTTGATATTTTCTTCGTCAGCGTTTTTCACGTTTTTATTAACATGTTTAATACCTTCAAAATCATGATCTACAGTCGAAGAATCATTTATGTCAGTTTCGTTCATTTTTTCGTTTGTTTCTATTGAATTTATAAATATTAAACGATCATTATTATTATTGTTATTATTATTGTGATAGTGATTATTATTATTATTGCTATTCTTATCATTATTAGTAGTAGTAGTAGTAGTAATAGTAGTAGTAGTAGTATTGACATGGTTATTATTCTTATTTGGTATTTTTGGTCTGGCATTAACAGTGAAAGGTAGTGATTTAAAAGCACTCAACAATTCAACTAAATGAATTGAATGTTTATCAATCTTTTCATTATTTCTATAATCGTTCATAAACTTATTTGTTTTTAGATCATCGATAATGATTGATTCATTGCCTTGACGTATGTTCAGATTTTGTGTTATGTCCGGATTTTCTATCCTGTGTTGTAATGAAACATGTTGATTTTTATCCAAAGAATTCATAGGTAAATCAAAGTTTGTAGTTTTTATCTGTGCCAAGTGCAATCGGCTTGAACCTCTTTGCCTCAATGCTATTAGTTCCTCTAAACTCATATTCCGTGATTTAAGTATTGCTTCTAGCTTCGCGGCAGTTACTGACGAGGTTAGTAAATCTAAAATTTCTGTTCGCGCTTCTGGTTCAATCTCTACTAAAATCTCTTCGTAAATATTGTTTTTGGGCTTGACAACTCGATGATTTGTAGGAGATAGCTCATACATAATTTTGACTTTGTCATATTTATCGTTGGAATCACTATAAATTATTGGTTCTTCGTTTTGATAGTCCGCATCTACAGTATCAAACATGAAATTTAATTTTTTCCTTCCAGTGCTCATCTGTATTGTTTCCTTTGTTATTGGAATAGTTGGAGTAAATTCAGTGGAAGTCGGAATATTTTGACTATTTAAAATTGAATCTTGATGGAATTTGTGAATGTGGTCGGCAGTTGTTCGTGACCCTTCATTTTCTCTTCGAAAATCTGAGTATGCCATAATTTCTTCATTTTCATTTGAGATCACAAGAGTTGTCATGTTCATTGGAAAATCCGCACTGGTGGTTGTAATTTTCTCATTATTTTTAGAGGTATGCTCATTTACTCTAGAACTTGTCAGTTTAATTACAAGCCCATTATTATTTGTTGAAAGCTTTTCTTCCCGCTCAATGTCTGAAGCTTTCAATGCACGAATGACCTCCGTTTTCCTTTTTATAAGATCACTCAATGACAAGTTGCTCTGTTGAAGAATTTCCGATAAAGAAAAGCCCGATATTTGTTGTATTTTGAGTAATGATTTAAGCTCAGAGTTTTCTGATATTTGATCAATGTTTGGTAAAGAATTCGTTCGATCGTTATTATTATTATTTTTTATTTTTACGAATGTTTTTCTTGAGTTCACTTGAGAAGAATAAGGGTGGAGAGGGGACTGAGAGTCCTTTGGAGATTGACGTTTTTTCAGTCTAGGAAGATGGTATTCTTCATTATTCACTTCATAATTATTAAATGAGTGGGATGACCACTCACTTCTGTACTTTATATTTTTTTGTGATAAATTTCCGAGTTTTTCAATATTGTCAACATTATATCCTCCGGTCGTTGGAGTGCTTGGCGAATTTGATGAATTCAAATTTCCATTGTCTTTACATTCACTCGTTAATTTACCATTGGAAAGTTGAACTGCGATGGCATGATTCCCGTCATCAACGACACTTTCCTATAATTAAATGAATAAAAGACAATGGCTTAAAGTATGGCTGCTGTTTAATGATAATAATTGAAAATAGGACAGAATACTGTGATGTGTTGTTGATTGTTGATTTTGTGTGCTTTTGTTTTCAATTATATGTGCAATGCAAAAACATGGAAAACCAATATTTTATACATTTACATGAGGAAGGTTGAATTATAAGAAGAGTGGATGAGAATTATTTCAACAATGGAACAATTTCATGATAATCCTATGATTGAAAGTCATTGTAGAAAGTTTACCCTGAATTTTGAGTATTTTCGAAACATTAAGAGGTCTATTTTAATCTCATGATGATTTTCCTTGAGCAATGTGACAAATGGAAAATTCTGATCAAAAGCCAAAATTTTTTTTACCAGTCTAACATAGAGGCTTATTTTTTGTTTTAATTTTGAAATCCTCTGATTTCGTTCCTAGGATTTTAAACTTTCCATCTAATTTTATGAAATATTTTAATAAATTATTTCATGTGATATATTATTTACACGCTTTGCCGTGTCTCCTCATTGCATTACTTAAATTTATTAATCAATATAATTAATCATCTCACCCGTAATGCATAATCTTTTTTGTATCCAGAATTTTTGTCAACATTTAAAGCCATACCGCAATCAAAACTAAATCCAATGAACACCAGCAAAAACACACTCTTCATGATTGAAACTTTATGTTAATTCAAAGTTATAGATATTATTTAATCATGCGTGAAAAACATAATTCTCTCGTACGCCCCCGATTGGCATCATTAAATTTCCAAATTCCCCTGATAAGAGAAAAAAAAAATTGTCAAAAGTTTTTTATATCACTGAAATAAATCGTATGAATCTTGATAACTCGTACAATACGTTGCTATATTCTCTCGCCTAATATACGCATGGTACCACTATTTGCTTTGCGTGCCTCTCACCAACAGATGCGGTTTTCTTTCACTCAGCCTCGTAAGTAAGTCGGTGAAACTCGTCGAGATTTAAGAAAAAAAATTTTAGCCAACCTCTAAACTCCCCTTCTTTCTTTTCTGAACGTAACGGAAGAGAGGTAGATGAGAAAGTTTTTAATTCATACGACAGAAGTATTTGTAGACTTCCCGATGCTCCATTATGCTTCATTTACGTTCTAACATCTGTAGGTCAAGTTCATCAGCCAATTGCAACGAGAAATAAATTAAAAAGTTGTCTGCAATAAGGAAGATTAAATTAAATAGAAGTTTTGATAAGTAGTCAATTGATAATAAATTATTCTCTGTTATAGCTGGGCAGTTTCTACAGTCATGACACGTCAAAATATAATTCCCAGTGAACATGCGGGAGAGATGATACATGCTCTTATTCCAATGTGGGATATGTGTAATCATGAAGAAGGAGTGGTAATTGCTTTTATTATTCTAATTTATCGAATAAATCAGTGAAATTAATTTGTAAATTATATTTCTATGCAGATTACAACTGATTTCAATATCAACTCGGATATGTGTGAATGCTATGTAAAACGTGAATTTAAACAAGGAGAACAAATATTTATAAACTATGGATCTCGAACAAATTCCGATTTTTTTGTTCACTCTGGATTTGTTTATCCAGATAACAAGAATGATGGATTCAAATTACGTTTGGGTATTAGCAAATCAGATCCACTGTTTCAAGACCGGATGAAGCTACTGGAAAAACTCGAATTTCCCGCTTCAAATTTGTCGTTTTTACTTAATACCACTAGTGAGCCTATTTCCGATCAAATGCTGGCGTTCTTGAGAGTCTTCAGTATGAGAAAATTTGAATTGGACCATTGGCTAGAGTCTTCTAAAGTTTTGGATTTAAAGCATAGAGATTGCGCCCTTGATACTGTAGTCGAGACTAATGTTCGAAAATTTCTATTAGCACGACTGAAACTACTCATGGCAAATTACCCGACTACTTTGGAGGTAATTCATTAATTTTTTCAATTTTATCGGCAATGAAAAAAAATTGAATAATATAGTATACCATGTCAACTATATTTTCGGTATACTACTACTATAAGAATTATATTTAATTTCTTGATATATTTCGTTTTTTCATTGTCAGGAAGATTTGAAGATTCTCAAAACGATGATGCCACCAATTGGAAAAATGATCGTGGAGCTTCGCGCATCTGAAAAGAAAATACTAAGTCAAGCAATAGATTACGTGGAGCAGTGGGTGAAGGCATGACAGGTTTAATTTGCGAAACTGCTGGGTGCTATGAATTTTCTGGAAAGAATTGAGTTCAATTGGATTGCGAAATCAATATCAAGATTCCCATAACTGCGGTACATAACTTTTACTCATACAATAATTTGTAAATGAGCGCAACATAAATTGGATAATAATAAATCTTAATGACAGTCTCTAATAGGTCAGTAATATGTTTATTGTTTATTTACTTCGGTTAATTAAAAATTCCATTTGTGAGCTCGGTATTGGTAATTGGTCATTGATATTAATATTAATATGATATATATTTATTACTTAGGTAACTAGATGTTGCTCAACTCGTATAGTTGTGTAACTGAGTTTGTGTAAGGAGGTCAGTAACCTACTAATGTCACTACGTTCATCACCATTTTTAGTGGATTATAATTTCAAAATCTTTCATAGATTCCAGCATCGAACATTTCTTGCCATTTTCGACCATGAGGATACTCATAGTCAATCAGTGTTTGTTTTTTTAATTGTGTGGAGTAACCGGCAGCATTTGGCGCCCTGTAATGAGCATTTTCAACAATTGAGGGATTCACAAAATGATCGTGTTGTTGGTCAACATATTCGATTATTCGACTTTCAGTCGTTCCACTCAAAGATACAAAATCCCACATTTGCAAGTGTTGAACCATTTCACAAAGACCTATTCCACCAGCATGGGGGCACACGGGTACTCCTAGTGTATATGCCATCAAATAAACACTCAAAATTTCGTTTACTCCTCCAAGTCTTGCTGCATCAATCTGACAAAAGTCAATGGCTTTGGCCTGGAGCAATTGTTTGAAGATAATTCTATTGGCACATGTTTCCCCAGTAGCTGTACCGATACCTAATGGACGAAGAGCCTTAGCGATTTTTGCATGACCCAAAATATCGTCTGGAGATGTAGGTTCTTCTATCCAATAAGGTTTGAATTCTTTAAGTTTATTCATCCACTCAATGGCTTGGTCAATCTCCCACATTTGGTTGGCATCGAGCATTAATATGTTTTTTTCACCAATTTCTTGACGGATTAAACGTAATCTGCGAATGTCATCATCGATATCATGACCCACTTTAACTTTGAAATGAGTGAATCCAAGAGATATATATTTTCGGCACAGAGCACGTACTTTCTCGTTACTGTAGCCCAACCAACCAACCTGCGTTGTGTAGGCGGGCAGGCCTCTTTCAAGAAGACGATTTTCTCGCGCTAATTTTAACGATTGTTTATCCTTGAGAATTTTAATAGCTTCATCTCTCGTTATTACATCGGAACTGAAAAAAAAAAACATGAAAAACTGGTCAAGATAAAAAAAACCATGAATTAGTATATCTTCATGAGAACCATTTGGTTGGAAAATTATGAGGATGGCATGTTGACGGGTCTGTGAAAATTGGGAGTATATGCATTGACAAAAGTACTTGCATGTATCGAAAATCGATGGTAGAGACCAATGTCTCTGGCGTTAAGTCCACCAGTAATTTCCAGAGCGGTACACCTTTGGATTTTGCCCAGAGATCCCATAGGGCATTGATAACGGCTGCGGTCGCTAAATGTATCACTCCCTTTTCCGGTCCCAACTATCACAATTATCCTCCTTCATTAACTTATCTATAAATATTTTATGTTAGCGCAATATTACGAAGGGTGGACATACCCATCGTAGTTGTGATTCACTGGTTACCTTCCTCCAAAATTCTCCGAAATTATTAAATATCTTATGAATATCTTCCTTCATGATAATTTTTAAAATTGCTTGACACGCCGACACCACTGAAATATTGAAGGTACAACACGAAAAAATAATATTGTACACCGTAATTCAACCTACTAAACATTCATCATGAAAATCCTTTTGTTTACCTATCTCTGTTCCTCTCCCGAGCGTAAAGGTCAATCCAAAACCTTCAAGATTGTTTTCCAATTTTATCATTACGTAAGCACAAGAGTAATCCGGATCCGTGTGCTAAATTCACCAAGACAATCAAAATTAAATCGTGGAGGTGGTGCTTGCAAAAAAAAAAAAAAAAAACACCATAACAGCATGCGACAATAATACAGTACAATAAATTATCAACTAACAACGCTAAAATGAGCCCATAAAATTCATGTGAATGTTTCAATTGACTTACCATAGCATCGCTTCCATCGGCATTCAATGAAGTTGGAAACCTTATGTCTTTTACCCATGCATCGATAATTCGTCCAGAAACCATTTTTAAGAAACTATATATTTACTGCTGGCTCAATTCCTGATATGTTAAACATTCAGCGACTTCAAGCTCAGCACAAGTGAGCAATTGCGTTATTGAATGCTATCAGCATAAAGGGGTAAATTAAACTCATATCTACTCTGTTATCACAAGATATATATGTAGATACATTTTCATTTATTCATTTATTCATATTAATCTGCCTCCAGGGCATTTATTATTTCATGATAAACTCTAATAGGAAAATGCCTTTCAAAGGTCAATTACAAGGTACAATTTTGATATATTTGAGCGACACTATCGTATGACTGTTGTTTGCTGAATTGTCTTGTCTCGAGGCAAGTATAGATTATCACCATTATCACTGACAGCTCTACGCTGTCTATACGTGCTACACGAGCAGTACGGATGGTCAGACAACGTCGGCATTGAGAAAATCATTGACATGGCTTACCTACCAACCCTAAGAGCAATTGGCCGCAAAAATTCTTGCTGACCAAATGCTGAGCTTTGAATCCTTACAACTCCACTAAACAAGGAGGAAAATATTGAATAAAATTCGGAACCTTCGGTACTTCGGTATTTTATCCGTATCAAAATGTAATTGAAAATTTTTTTCTTTTGGCATTTTATTATCATTGAATTTAGAGTGGCTAAATAGAATAGGATACCTATTCACTCTCCTATTCCTCCTATTCAAGCTATTAACGCGGAATATTTAATCGCCAATGCTTGAAAATGCTGTAATGAGTGCGTCGTGACTACTTTCTCTCTCCTCGATTAATTTTTCTCATTCACACTACCGCCCGGATTCCACGGTATCATGCGCATGTCTCTTGTATTCGTTGTATTATATATTACTACACACGTCATCTACCTGGATATTGTACTGTAGCATAATACACATGCATCGCTGTTTTCAATTATGAAATTTAGCTGAAGAGGAAGAATTAACTCGCATTTGGGTACTCAAATAACAATTTTCCCATTGTATTATTTTTTGCATACAAACAGTGGTTTTTTTTTCTTCCTCTTCTTCTTTTTCGACTAGTATAGTTGCCGGTTAATTAAAAGATGGCACTTCCGCCTTTGTAAATTAATCAATTACCTCTGAATCTCGTTATTCAATTGCAAAACTTGGAGAAAATTTTAGCGAGCTAATGAAACTAACGAAATTCGTGTAAAAATTTTCTCGCACTCTCGTATAGCTAATCTCGGTTGATTGCCTAATGTTAAAAAATTTTATTTCTTCGAAATTTAGAATCTTGGTTGAGAATTCGGGACTCGTGCCGAACAGTTCCTTAAGACCTGGTCGTTAATTAGCATAATAACTTTTAAAGCAGCGAAAAAGTGCTTCACAGAGAGTCGAGGGGGTGTTCTAGGGGGTAGGGGTCGGTGAAGAGAGGAGATGGGCGCGGTTCGTTAATTTTCCAAGAGTCAGAAACACTGAATGACCTTTGAATATTCATGTACACATAATCTTACATAAAAATAAAGTTTGGAATATATACAAATGTGTGCTCGAGTGATCAAAGAACATCTCCATCAGTGGATTATCGATGAGGGCAAGTGAGGCGAGTGAGGATGATGGAGATTCTATCGGCGATTCGGTCTCTGCTTTATTTTTTTCCTCCCCTCAGGAACAACCGAGAGACCTCAGTTTTTTTTTTTTTTTTTTACTGTCGAGAGAGTTTCTCGGACTTTGCATTCGTGGCCGACTCACAATCCACCCATCCATTAATCGCCCTGCCTCGGGACATTTTTTTCGTTTATTCGTCGTTGTCCCTGATATTTTTTCAAGTTTTTTTCAACGTCTCTCTCAAACCTGGTGCCTGGAATCCTGGTGCCACGACGACGCGACGGACGGACGCCTGCACTACTGTTTTCTACAGGAGGAACGATGGGGAAAAAAATCCACTTTACTTTATGACATTTGGTGTCTACTTGAGTGAAAATCATTTTTCACCTGGATATGAATGAAAAAAAAATTCTAAAAACAATGAAGAATGAATGTTGTTCGAAATGGTGGAAATATCTTGGAGAAAAAAATGACTTAATAACCGAATGAACGATAAGGTGAGAAACAACTCAATTAATCGGTCCATCATTCATTACAGCTTGAATGAAAGCGGTAGATAATATTGGGCTGGGTTTGGGCGATGAGATTAATCCTTTTTTTTGTATTGAATTTTCTATTTGGTACTCAATACAGCCTTTAATTTTCTATGGGAGGTAATTTCATCGAAATGTTGCAGTTACCATAGCACTGTCAGAGGAGACATCAAATTAGTTTCATGATAAATTTGCGGAGAATGCGGAGAAAGAGAAAATTGACGAATTGTAGAAATAAATTAAGGCTTAAAGACTCAATGATCCCATTTATAAGAATGAGACTATATTCCACTCGATTATTTTTTGCAAAATATTTCGGGATTGAAGGGCGAGAGATAAGAATTCGTAATGATATTTTTATGTCTCTCATCCTCCCATGCGTGGAAGGAAATCCCTTGGAAAAATCACTATCTGTTGGCTATGAAAAATTTTAGTGGTATTCGAGTTATTTTTATGGTTATCAGTCCGAGTTTATTTAATTTATTGAATTGAAAATCTCTTGAATATTCATTGCCAAATAAGTGATGGAAATTATTTAAAAAATTTGTTTGTCATAAAAAATGTAATTTAACAGCGAAACCAGGAATTCCCCCACTTGCTAACAACATCTATCGCTTCGTCGGTCGTTCAATAGATGTCGTTGTCGTTTTCCCGCTCGCGAGTTTCGCCTTCAACCCCTTAACATTACACACGAATAAATACACGAGAAAAGCGGCAAAAGTCTTGTCCATCTACGTCATTTTTTGAAGTTGTTCCCCCATTAAACCGCTTATTGCGTTATTCGCGAAAATTCTCACCGTTTCGGGGTGAATTGTGAGCATCTCTGGAGGTTTCGACGGGGATGGGATGAAAGGTGTAGATAGGAGTAGATAGGTGTAGAGTTCTCGAGACGACGTGTCAAATTTTATGAGAGCTGCGGGGGTGAATTGGGCAATCGTGGGGGATGCGCAGCCGGTGGTGGCTACACCCTCAAGCGCGAGTCTCACCGAGGCTCAGTCGCCTGCGCACCCTCTGACGGTAAGGGTGAATAATCATCACCTCCGAAAACTCACGCTTTTCAGTGACAGACCAGATCGGGGGTAGCTTATTGTTTTTTTTTTTGGCATTTTATTTTTGAATTTGCACGCCACGCACCACACCTTGGAGGGTGGCTTCTTGTCGACAGGTAAGAGGAATTCAATGTTGAGAATATTCCCATTAATTTGCCATCATCTTCAGGACTTGCAAATTGATAATTTCTGAATTGTCAATTGAATTGGAGGGGGAAAGGGATGGCTATGCGGCTCAGGGGTTGCCCGGCTGATTAATTGAGTGAGTGCCTATAGACCAATTCAATAATTTATTAATTTATTGGATAAACAAAATTTTGCAAATTATTATTTTTAAAGAAAGGAGTAGTAAAGTAAAGGAGTTTTTCGGATTGCGAATTTAGCGAATTATTATTGGTGAATTTATTTTGCAAGTGAAGTGCGGGGCAATGCCAGAAGGGTTTGTGTGATTTGCTTTTATTATTATTATTATTATTATTATTATTATTATTATTATTATTATTCGTGTGGAGTGCCACGTGACTGCAAGTGCATTTCCACCCGATAATTGCCTGTCAATTACAGAAATTGATCCCTTGATCTCGTTAATGTGCACGGATCAATTAATTTTTTCCGCTATTCCAATTTGCCGATGCACATGACGTTAAAGAAATGTTCATGGGCTTAAGTTTGAGTTGAGGCGATGGGAAACGGGGATTTGATGCGTCTTAGGAGAGCGATTTATGGTCTATCATCGAGTCCTCCTGGTGACTGCAGAATGAATGCAATAAAAAAGTCTCACTGATGTCATAAAATTCGTCGCTCACCACCGATCACAGCGCGCTACCAATTTAAACTTGATTCGTTTTATTTTTTGATTGGAGAGTTTGCACGTTTTCACTCGATGATCAACTCATTCGCAGAGTTGCAAATTTTCCACATCCCAGGAGATATTTTGGTTTCTTCTAAAACCTTTCCACTTTTTCCTTTGAACAAGTGATTTCATTATGAAAGCGAGAAATTTTTTTTGTGGAATTTTACGCACTAAAAAATGATTATTTGAGGGGTGAGCCATTTATTGGCGGGTAAATGGTGGGGTCTGTCGTATATCAGACTCGCGTTCTATTCTCCTGTGGTTACACACCTACATATGGGTATTCCCCCTATCGCTATAATTCCTTTGACGTCAAATTGCCGTTACAAGATGCCTAACCCACAGTGCATTGACGTCATATCTCTAATTGCCGGTCTATGCAATGCGCGATTGAGCTACATAAATTTACGTGTTCAGGCACAACGTGCAAAAGGGAATACGTGGGGGTGACGGTTTCGGGAAGACATCCTGGCCTCAAACTTTCATTATCCGGCCAGGAAAAGCCACCAGTCAATTGTTCATTTCAGTCAAAACAATTAGGAAGGACTTTGAGAAAATAATTATCCCCGTGGGTCAGCGCTTTTTTTCATTAATATTTTTATTTAAAAATTTTTTTGTCAACTTTGTTGGAAAGGCAGGGAAAACAAAGGAGTGAAACTCGAGGGGTGAAAACAGTAGTGGAAAAATGACTGGGAGGTTAGGATGGTCGTAAATTTGTTGAACCCCCGAAGGCGATGCACCTCGGGGTGAACACACTGTGAAGCACAGTGGACCTTAACTCCAGGGCTTCCTGCACCTGCCTGTTGTTTTTATCCATGTAAATTCTCGTGCACTGCATTACCTTTTACCGGGAATTTTCATTTCCCCTCTAATGGGATAGTGCTTTTGTAGGATAGGTCTTTTGTACTGTACGACTGAAGTTAATTGGAATTGAATTAATTCGGGTGAGAGCCAACTAATTGCCCGATCTGTGGTAAATTTTTCTTTTATCCTTTTGCCATTTTGCCATTTTGATTTTATCAATTTTTTTCGCTGGTAACAATGAAAAATAACAATTTTAGATTATAAATTGAATGAATGAAATCCAATAGCGGTTTCTAGTTGAAAATAGGAAAAATTATGGAAAAGGGGGTGGTACTCCGGTGAGTATGAAAAGGCCTAGTTTCAACACCAAAAGCAAACCCGACACGTCTATCTGTGAAGTTAGCTAGAGCGAGATGTGAGGGTGTGCTCTACCGTGGGCCATTGTACTGCACATGGTCCTTTATGCTCCTCCGCTAAATTTAACCCACTTACGTCCTCAAAGAACCGTAAACATGACATTTTTGTTAATAATTTCTCGGCACTTGTTTTGGGGCCATTTCACGTCTTAAAATATTGTACATGTATTTGAAAAAAAAAGACCATCAAATCGGGAATTTCAACAATTTCAAATATTCGACACAATTTATTTGCAAAAATCAATGCATTACATCATGCACAGATGTTTTCATTTGAAAATTCCTAGGGAAATTAACAATTTTAAAACTTGACCCATCAATCCAACTATCAAAAATATTTTATACTTCATTCCAATAAATTTTTTTATCTTTATATTAAGAAACTTGATCAATTTAAATTGAATTATCGTGGGATTCGGTGACGGTAATCTGGAATAGAATACCAGTTGGTGGTTTAACAAGTGAATTAAGGTAATTCATAGAGAGTATTTTCCCAGTACTGAGGAATCAACATCATTATATATGATATATCGTTGGGGAAGGAGGCCTGGAAAGTGTTGAGGGCTTATCCCCACTGGGTATGGAAGTCAGAAACATGGGCATTGTAGAATAGCATTTCCGTGTTGTGTTTCTACTTGAGAGTTGTGAAGGGGAGGAAGAGGTAGAGCCAGGTAGAGCGTTCCAATTTCAAGGATTTATTCGTGAATGTATATGCGAGAATACGAGTAGAACGTGCCAAGCGTGCACCCGAAACGTGCGACTCACCACTGGATTTTGGGCTTTGTTGGACAGAAGATGATCTCTCCACCGATCAGTCGGGAATGATCTGGAAACATCTCATGAAAATGCATATGACTGAAATTTCAAGATATTTTTAAGAGCGTAATAATTCTATGGGTAACGGGAATAAAGTCAACTCACAAGTGTGGACATACCACACCACTTGTGTACGATTCACAGGCGTATTCGTCAGCGATGACAGAATTTGCGGCCTCGCGGAAACTTACAAACTCAAGCTGGAGCCAAGTTTCAAGTCCTACCGCAAGGCAGATGGTGGGAGGAGGATTCACCCTGTCTCGGCTCGTGAGACATAGCCGGGCATCGAAAAGGGGATGGAACAGTAGAGACGGCATGAATGTCGTCGGCAAACTTTTGCCCCGAAAAGTTTTTATCGTCAAGTCGCACTTCGTACATAGCACCAGTGTGTTGTATACGTCTTAAGATGGATCAGCCGTACATGTTCTGTTTTTAAAATACACAGGAGTGGAAAAAATTCACCGAAAATTACAGAAGAGTTTCGTAATACTGAAGGACGAAGTGCAAAAGGATAGGATTATCATGTAATAAAATTTATCCTGGCTAGCCTTTCCTAATTGTATTGCATAGTGGCCTTTAACTCTTCTCTTCGTAATGGGGGCCTTTCCTCCGGGAATATATTTAAATATATTGAAAAAGAAAAAAAAAAAAACTATTGCCACTTTCACAATAAATTATTCTCGGTTGAGAATTCGGAGATTTCGTCAAATATTCCCTTGAACTCTCGAATTTCGTGGAACTGAGACTGCAATAGCTAAAATCCATTTTAATCAAATGTAATTGGTAAGATGGTAAAGCTAGAGTTGAGAAATCGGATTGAAATCGAGTGAGAGGACGTGATTTTGAATATTAAAGAAAATGGTAGAGAGGGTAATGGAAAAATGACGCAAGTTGGTAGCTTCCCACTGATTGCTCCTGACCTGTGGACCTCAAAGGACTTCCGGTTGAGCAGATCATCTCTCTGAGGTGCCCGCTAATCTCAAGAAGTATCAAATCGATAGACCCTTTCCTTCATAGAGAGAGAGAGAGAGAGAGAGAGAGAGAGAGAGAGAGAGAGAGAGAGAGAGAGAGAGAGAGAGAGAGAGAGTTAAGAGGAAATATGTTATCTCTGTTGGATTGCATGCATAAAAGATACCAGTACAATTCGCTTTCTCACTTGCACTTGATCTCGTGACATGGGTTTTGTACATGCACTCAGCTGTGTATTCTGGAGCCTCGTCCGTGGCTTTATGTTTGCTCGACATTTTGGCAACCACTCAAATGCATCAGCGAATTTCTCTGTATAATATACAATTAACACAACATTCTCATCTCTTTTTTAGCCCTAACATTCTATATTACTTCATACACTTATAATTAAATTGTTCGCTACTTCATGTGTAACTTTCAACATTAATTACTCATCTGATGATTTCACTGTTGAATTTTTGAGGGGCTCCATTTTACTTCACTGGAGTTCATGTTCCGTATCGGTTGAAAAATTAATGACGGGCTGCAAGAATAAAATCGCTCGTACTGCGCAATCGAAATAAATTAAAATTTTATATGGACACGCCAAATCTTGAATTTTTTACCTACTATTTTTCCATCCATTTTTTATTGGCAGTATAAATATACATTATAAAAATACATTATAAAAAACTTAGCCTATTTTTTTGGCATTAAATAATAAATGTACAATGAATAAATAAATTTTTAGGTAATTTGAAATATTGAGTGGACACGTTAAATATTTATTATTCGGTAATCCGTCCAGAAAATTCCGTGGAAGAATTTAAAGGCGAATACCTCATGTGGTCGAATAGCGTTATAAAAAATAACGATCCCCAGGGGACATCAGAGATGTGGTTGAATTTATCTATGAATTGTTCCCCTTTTCACTGAGCCAATGTCTGCTGAGGGAATGGTAATGCTCATCGATATATTTCAACCGAGGGAAAATAAAGGAGCCACTTCAATCACGAATATGCGATGTTCCTCCGATGTGGGATCCGGTACGAATGATCTATCGCAGCCGGTTGTTTGAATAATATAAAAACATTATTATGATTGAGGTGGAGCTTATCGAGAAATTTTCACTTGCCCGGTGAAATGCATTCAGATGCCATCATTTCTATTGCTCGTAAAGCTCTTTAACGGAGGGAATAGAAAATTCATGTAGTTTAAGGGGCAGTGGTAATTTAAAATGAAAGGTCACCTAATCCTCCGGTTCTTGGCGACAAGCAATATGCAACACGAATCAATTATCAGTCAATTTATTTTAACTCAACAGCCCCAGCTCATCTCAACTCAGCCCTTTCCCCTACATCTAACCTCATTAATCATTATGATTAATTACCTTCATAACAATACTCTCTCAGCCCTCGACTCTCT